CAGGTTAACTGGAAAGCATGACTGAATGTATGCAAGACTGAAAGAATCCCATTCAAATATTTGTCATTGCAATCATTTGGTGCTGCTGGTTGCAAACCAGTGGTGTGATGCTGCTCTTACAAAGCCAGTATTCTAGTGACAAATTGTTTTCAACTCCCCCAGCAAGAGAGTTCAGTTGCTGTGATTTATTTTAATTTAGATTTGTGTAGCAAGTACTTTGAGAACTGTGCTTAATAGACCATTAGAGTTTTCCCAGATAGCTGTAGCGCTTCAGCACCTTCATCCTTCAAATGTCTTTGTTATTTTCTGCCTTCTTTCAGCAAATCTGGCTCTTGCATTGGGATGTAAGTAGCATACTGGCCACATGACACCTTTGAGGATTATGCCAATTTTAAATAATAGCTTTTGAAGACTCACTGCAGATTTTCAGAGAACCAAGGTAGATGTTAGAAGGAGTTCATCACATAATGCAATATATGAAACATTAAAAAATTCTTTACCTAATTTGTTTCTTATGTTCCTTTCTAGTGGACCCACCAAAATAATTTTCAGGTGACTTTTTTTTGGTGAATGCCACACATTCACAGAGCTGGGGTTATCAGTCAGAGATGCTTGCCTATTCTGGCTCACTCCCTTCCCTGGTAGTTTTATTTACAGCTGATTACTTCCCTAAGATAAAGAAACCATCCTAACTGACTTTGAAATAGCTACCTGCCAGCGTGACTTTAAGCCTATCATGCAAAAACTCACAGAGAACAAATTAGCAAGTAAAGCAAACTCCGTGCAAGTCATTCATCACTATAGTAGACCTGGTGTAGAATATATTTAAACCTTAACTAATATGGACCAAGAAAAGCCCATTAAATTGGGCAATTTAGAATCAGATGGCTGCTATTAGGAATGTAAGAAATAGAAATGAAGATACAGTGTTCTCATGCTCCAGCAAGCCCTCACAAACTGAACATATACCAACTGAATCCTGGAATCTAGACATACATATTTCTAATAAAACTATCCGCAAAGCACAGACAACCAAATCCAATTCTTCCTTCCCACTCCTAGGATAGACCTCACTGCATTCAAACTACTGCTTTTCAGTAAATCAAGCAGGATTTAATTCAAGCTGGCTGCCCTAGGTAATTTCCCTGCAGTCAATTCCCTTCTTTCAGGCTAGGAGGACGTCAGAGCCAGAGAGATCCAGGACACCAGTTTAAGTGACAGGGGAGCTGCTGCTGCTCTTTATTAAGCCCCTCTGATGGACAATTAGATTTATTTTGGCACTGCATCTCAGAAGACTCTAAAGGGCATACAATAATCTAAACTACAGACTGTCAAACTCTTGTTAGGCTGAGTTTCTCACCAGTCCTGGAACAAGCATGACTCACCAGTAAACAGCACAAATACTTAAAGGAATCTTCAGGACAGTACTGGGAACGCATGCAGGGTGCACCGTTCTTTTTTGGGGTTTGGGATTTTAATCTTCCAACTCTAAATCTGTGCAGATTAACTAGTGTCTTCTTTTGCAAAATACATGTAAAAGTGTATCACCAGCCCATTTTTTCAAAAAGTTACCAATTACACAACATAATGTAATAGTGATGACTGCTATACAGAAGTAATAAGGTATTCTGCTATTGTTTGTATCAAACTGGAAATCTGTGAAATCAGTCTGTTCAGCTGAGCCACTGATGCTGGGGAGACAAAATACAGTGTGAGACAGAACATTTTCTCTCTCTCATGCCAGCGGTTGTCATGTCTAGTTCTGCACTTAAACAACGAATTGGCTGAAACATCCCTTACAACAAAAGAAGAAAATAAATTTGGCAGTGGGAAACAATCGTTACATGTGGAAAATTCACTTAGACTCATTATTAGTGCTGTGTTATCACCATGATCAGAGATGTAAAAGAAAAACCTGAAAAGTTGCCATGAAAAACAAAACTAGGAAAACTTTGAAATCTAATAGTCCATTTTACATATTGCAAAATATAAACTTGGTTACAGCTTGGGAGCATTAAAAACTCCTCAAATCTTAAATATTTTATTTGCTCTTAACTTCCTGGAAATAACTAAGAGTACATAAAAATGATGCTAGCATCTACTTAATTCTAATTGAAAACATAATTCTTTGTTTCCTATTGACTGAAGACAGTAGTGTCCCCAAGTGAGATTTCATTATACAATATAGTCTTGTAGCTTTGTAAAATAAACCCCAACAGATTATTTTAATTGCTTCACATAATACTAAGAGAGGACAGACACTTGCAAACAAAAGTCAGATGTAAATGACACTGACATTTCTTTGAGAGGTCTTGGGGCGGGGGGGGGGGG